CCCCCCCCCCCAATCTACGGGGTTGCGAAGTTCGGGTTAAACGTTCCAGAGCACTGGGTGGGTCTGCGCTAGCGCCCGGCTCGGCTTATACAAGACATCGACCCACGTTTATCTTTTTCCGCACAGATTGCAAAGGGCCAGTGGCGTCAGGCTGTGGCTCGGCCGAGCGCCGCAGTGTGGATGAAGTGGACTCCTGGTGATGAAGGCGCACCTCGGGTTCATCCTGCAACAGGTGGCAAAAAGCAAACAAAAAGAGTGTTCAGCCTCGTTGCAACGTAACCTGTGCAGTAGGTGACAAAGGTGCTGAAAAAAAATAACGCCACTGACACTTTGGCGTGGACGCGGAAGCAACCTATGTTGAGTTAAATAACTCGTGCGTACGGTTTTTCTGTCTCCAGTCGTTGTCAAAAGTCAGAACGTGCAGGTAGGCAGGTAAGTAGACCGCTAAATGCAGGTGGTATCATAGCGGAATTTGCCTCCGTGTTACTCTTGGTTTCTTTTCGCAATTTTATTTCTTTGTGAAGCGCAGCGCCAATCATTACTACTAGTGTCTTAGATCCTAAAACAAAAATTAAGTTTAATTGGCAGTTTTCGCCTTAATAGAGTCCTGTTCGATTCTCTATCGAGTACCGCGATAACACTGCTAAAACAACAGCATGTATGTGCACTCCAGTTGGTACCAGAGCGAAGAGAGAGAGAGAGAGAGAGAGATATTTGATATTTGATATTTATTAAGTAAATAGTACATAAGACTAAACAGTCTTTTTGGTGTACATCATTAGATGGCTTTTCTAGTAGCGTTCAGATAGCAGAATATAAAAATACAGTACAGTAGGTACCGGTTTACAGGATATACATAAGTGACAAATGTAAAGAAAATCAATTGTGCAAAACATTGGTGCGTAGGTAAACAGCAGTTTTATGTTTAAAGGAGTTAACAGATTTACAATTCAAGATGTTGCTGGGTAGCTGGTTCCAGCATATTACCGCCGATATCCAGAAACATGCTCTTTTTTTGTCAGTGAAGTGGGGTGGCACCCGAAGATGGTGCTCTCGATCTCTAAGGCATCGATCGTGGATATCGCGGACAAAGGTAAATTTTAGGTACAGGTATACAGGCGTTTTATACGTCAAAATCTTTTTTAACAGACACAGTGCTTGAAAGTTCCTTCTCTGAACAATTGGCAGCCATCCAAGATTTGTTATAGTTGCAGATATATGAGCATCGCGCGGTAGATCAAAAATGAAGCGCGCACAAGCGTTTTGAACGCGTTGTAGCCGCTCGCAGGACTTTACAAGCATATCAAATGAGACAATAAGACCGTAGTCCATAATTGGAAAAATCAAACTTTCAACCAATCGCTTGCGAATGGCTCTCGGTAGAGCATCTTTGTGCTTTTTAAGACCATGCAGGGCTGCTAAACTCTTGTTGCATGCAATGGTTGCGGCTCTTTCCCAAGTTAGATGACAGTCGATATTTAGGCCTAAGTTATTAACATTCTCAAGATAAGGTAGTGGTACATTGTTAACAATTATATTTGGCTTAGCGTCAGGTAGTTTGCTCATGATTTTACTGTTGGCAATCAAAATCACCTGGGTTTTATTACCATTTATGGACAGGTTATGTCCTGTGGCGAAATCAGCCAGTGCCTGAGCCTCTCGGTTCACTAGGTCAACCACTGAGGGAAGATTTTCGGGCAGAAAAGATGTATAATGTTGGAGATCGTCGGCGTAAAGGTGAAAACAAGTTTTAGTAAATACATTGCATATATCATTTACGTAAAGGGAATACAGTAATGGTCCTAGCACAGATCCTTGTGGAACGCCAAAGAAAATTTGAAGGAGAGAGGAAGTCTCCACTCCTGTATTTACAAATTGCTCGCGGCCTGTCAGGTACGACTTCATCCAATCAAGTGCGGGCCCAGAGAGCCCAAGCTGGCGTAGTTTGGCAATAAGAAGCTCGTGGTGGACAGAAGGAAAAGCGTTACTGAAATCGTACAACACTAGCAATGAAGCTTTGCGTTCGCCTATGGCCTCCCTAATGTCCCCAATGACCTTGAGAAGCGCCGTAGCTGTGCTATGTCCAGCTTTGAAACCCGATTGGAGTGGGTGAAATAGATTGTTTGCCGTCATGAAAGACGTTAGCTGAGCATGTACAATTTTTTCTAAGACCTTACCTAAAATACACAGCAGGCTTATTGGTCGAAAATCTTTTGGAATAGATGCACATGATTTCTTAGGTATAGGCTTAATTCTAGCGATCTTCCACAGGGCAGGAAAACATCCAGATTGCAGTGAGAAATTGAACAGATGAAGAATGGCAGGTGCTAATTCAATGATACAGGACTTCAGCATTTTGATGGAAATGTTGTCGACACCCATTGCGTTTGATGTGATAGATTGGACAGCTTTAAACAAATCAGTGAAGGTGACATCAGCAAAATAAAATGATTCACAGGTTACAGGTTGCATATCTTCATAGTGTTTGATCATATTGTTTACAGCTTCCTTATCAATACATGTGACAGACGAGTAGTGAATGTTTAAGTCGTCCGCAGGCGGAAAAACACTTGTTGGTGGGGTTGGTGTGACACTGAGGTTTCTTAATGAATGCCAAAGCTCTTTAGAGGACTTGGTGTTATTGAAAATTGAATGGGCGTACCGAATTTTGGCATCCCTCCTTGTTCTGTTTGCCTGGTTACGCAGATATTTAAACTTATCTGAGTCGGTTTTAAGTCCAGACCGGCGATACTTCTTGTAGGCACAATCGCGCCTCTTGCAGAGACTTAGTAGTTCAGGTGTTACCCAGGGTTGGGGCTGGTGTTTCAGAGTGTATGATTTGAATGGGGCGTGTTTGTTGTATATACCCAGCAGAGTGTCATTAAATATAGCGACCTTGTCGTCTATGTTTGTACATGGAAACATTTTCTCCCACGGTGCAGCTATTATATCATTTTTGAATGCTTCCTCATTGAACTTAGAGAAGTCCCGCCGTGTTATACAAGTTTTTTTGAATTTTGGCACTGACAAGTTATAAGTGGCATACAGTAGGTCATGCGCGGAGAGCCCACAGACCGGAAGCTGGACAAAATCAACAAGTTTGTCATGGCACGTTGAGGCAATCATGTCAAGTGATGAGTTAACAGACTTGGTGTGGTAAGTTGGGCCGAAAGGCACCCTGATTAAGTTACACACTTCAATTAAATGGTTCACAGCATTTGAATCAGAGATGTCACAGGGCTTGTCACTTCCGAAGTGCGCATTTACATCACCAGTTTAGAGAGAGAGAGAGAGAGAGAGAGAGAGAGAGAGAGA